TTCTGTTAAGCAATTTGCAAAACGTTCATACGCACAATGAAGATCTTCCACTACTATTAGCTGTGAATTCTCAAGTCTTTTTTTAAAAGTAACTAGGAACATGGCAACTTTAACTCAAGTAGCTAGAAATGCTAAATTTCGTTATATCTTGTTGAGAATTCATTTTAAAACTTTGTTCACGAATAACTGGGTAATGATCAGACAAGGATTCAGTATTAATAACCGAAACGTTTGGTTTTCCAAATTGCGGACAATCACAGTGTCAAGGCGAGAATCTGTGCTATCAGAAACTCTCGTAGGGGTTTTGATTAATAGATCAAATCCAATTGCATTAATGTTATTCGATCAAAGACTTGTTAGTTCAATTTTTTTGGTACAATTCGTCTAATTCATGATCTAATTCTTCTACAATCTTTCTTTTATCTACCCCGAGAGGAACATAAATTACTACGGCAATTAGCCGCATACCGTAGATTTCAACCAGCAAGCCTAATGATTCGTCAAGGTTGATAGTTATATGCTCAATAAAATGAACATTTTCACCTATCTATAACATTGTTCCTCCTCCTCGGGACCCCCCTACTTCAGAGTAAACTGAGTGAAAACCTTTGATTACAAACATGTCCTTATTATCATTTTTACTGAGCCATGTCTCTGTGATGCATAAAATTTTCGGTGGAGACTCGAGATTATATACTAAGGCTTCCAAATCCTCGTGGTGCTTTTTGAGTGAGCGAAAATTAGTAAGCATAATATTAATAACGGAATTACTATGATTTTTCGTTATTGCAGGGAATGGTGCATGAGCCTCCGGGTCTACCTGATTCCCGGAAAAGACTTTCGCCGAAACAATTAAAACACTTGTAGCACTGTAGTTCAGAAATTTACGACCATCGTGTTGGTCATTAACACGATACAATTTTTCATCGGCTTTCCATGTAAAATGAATACATACTTCTCTGGTCCATACCAATTTGATACGCTCATCGTTCTTCATTAGTCTCAAATAATTAGCTCGGGGTTGACTCAGGTCATCAAAGATAGATACATTCCTCAATTTGTCTCTGTCAGCCATCAATTTCTTTTTGCGCAATATTTATTTTTGCAATTCTTCGCGAAAAGCGAACAATGATCGGCTTTTCTCTAGGGGAAGGTGATGGCAATCTATGAGCTGTCGATATGTCGCTGATTGATATATTTGCACCAATTTCACTTGAGATATCAATAACTTTCGCCATCTTTGCTTCCATATCTTCATGCTTTTTATCACCCTCAAGGTCTTCGGCAACCCCAAGGATGCGGAGATTGTCTCATCGATTATAGTTCTCCAGCTTCTCGCACTCTGAAAGCTTTTTCAGGTTTTTGAAAATTAATTGCGCAGAGACTTGAGTTTTGGCAGCCGCTAATAAGTCCCTTTTTAGGTTCTTAACGGCCGTTTCAATGGCAACGCTTACAATACTCTGCAGTTGATCCTTCAGTTTCTCCTTTACATGTGGAATCATAAGTTCAATTGATCTTATCGTCTCCTGATTTTTTTCCGACAAACTACCTACGTGAAAATTCTTCACAACTTTTTCAGCACATGAGCTCATCGTTGCTTTGGATCGTTTCGTCTTCGGAAAGAAAAATGGTGTTTTGTCGTGAAACCGCAGACGAGGGAATTCTGATTGATGCTTATTTGTGTTATTGCTTATGTTGATATTAACATCCGTTTACATGTTTCTTCTCTGAAACTATTTTATAGGTTTATCACAACAATGAGGCTAATAAGTCTTAGCTTTTTAAGGTGATTTGTTAAATGACTTTTACTTTTTAGCTTTGAATCGACAGGGGCAGTGTTCGCAGGACTGATCTCCTTGGAACTCCCAGCTGAACCGCTGACATGTTTTGAGCATGATTCCCATTCCTACATACGCGTTCTTTTACTAATTTGCTTATTATTTTGAATCTAGTCTTACCGCTTAGTCGCCTTATCATGTATGTTAGTTGCTGCAAGGTAAAAATATATTTTCAAAACAATCGGTTTCAATTTTGAAGTTTTTTTATAAATATTTTTTATTAAATTTTTCATGGCCAATTTTTCATCTCCATTCCTATTAGTGTCGGGATAGTTTTAGCTTTCTCATTCAATATTTTATTTGTTTCGACTTAAGTCTCATTTTTCTCGGCTAGCTTGCCATGCTATGTTTGTGATTCATCGCAAGTGCTGCCGAGCTCTGCTACGCTTCCGTGTATGTTTTAACAAACTGCACGTTTGCCTGTATTAAAAGTGAAGAGCTGCTTTGCAATCGTGTTTCATATATTTTGACAAAAATGTATTTTTTGATCCGACCATTGAGGAACTTTGTATTCGAGTGTATTTAAATTTCTTTGTTGTTGTGCACGCTAAATCAAGTACCACAAATAATATTTGAATTGGGTCTAGTAATATATCATAGAAAAAAATCTGCAAACAAGTTGAAATCGTTGTAGAATTTTTCTGTGATTGTTTTTGTTTTCTAGTCGCTTTCCGACAGAGCTGATTTGCAATTTGCCATGTTTACTATGACTGGCTAATATGCCTCAATTTAAGGTTTTTATTTAGATTTCTTCTATCACGCCACGCACAAAAAACGACACGAGTTTGAAAAAAAACTTGAATGTATTGCATTGCAAATCCTTGTATTGCATTGCAAATACTTGTTCGATTGCGAAACATGGTGTTTTATCTCAAAAACAACCCGTTGACACAAATATTATCATTGCTACATAGAAACAAGCAGATAGGCTGGCGAAACTGGTAAAACAAACATAAAATTCTTCTGACCTTACAAAAAAGTTGCACATTTATTTATCTCAGTTTTTGTGCGCCGTTTTTGTGTAATTTGGTTTCCATCTGGTTTTTCAAATGGCACGAGTGGTCCGCTTTTCAAGCGCATTCATTGCTTACTATTATTTAATAGTCAAGAATGTGTAAACTGAGGAGTAGTTAGGCCTCAGTGGTCTAATTGTGAATAGACTGTCTGAAGGCGCAGGTTGTCGGTTCAATCGCCCGTTTTTTAAAGCCGTTCTTTAGTACCGCCTTGAATTTTCATACCTCTTCTTTGGAGCGTTGCAATATCTACGCCAAAAGTCAATTTTAATGGCTAGAAAGGGGGGCTTAAACAAGTAAGGTCACTGCTACTTAACTTCGCAATTTGACCATTCTGTCAACAGTTTTTCTAACGGAAAAAAACTTGTAGCACTAGAGGACAGTTTCCTTACTAATCCTCAAGGTAATCAATTATTTGCTTCCGTTGAAAATGTGTTTTATTTGAAAATGTATGCGGCATTTTTGTTTTGGGAAGGAAATTTTTATTGGAATTTATTTGCTAATGAAGGTTTTTCCGATATTTTGTGCGTCGTATTTTTTGTGCTCCTTATAGCCTTGTCAACTCTCTGGACTTTTGTGTTGTTTATTTCTGGTGGGGTTTTATTTCGTCTCTGAACCAGTGTTATTCAACCCGATGGGATAGGTTGATCATGACACTGATGTAGGGCACTTGAACGTCGCTTTAACACTCGAATCCGTCTAGATTGTTCTTGCAAATTGCTGTGCTGGAGGATGGTCAGCTCAGAACCAGTCTTGCTCTAATTTCGAAGCAATTTTTTTAACCAGGTTTTCTCCTGGTCTCTGTTATGCCGATGTTGGAATCTCTTTTTGGCGCAAAATCATTATTGAAACTTGGCAAATTATTTTTCTGATGACCTAAGCGAGGTGTTTTTTTATTGTGAGGGCAGTTTTTATCCAATAAAAACCGCCCTTAAAATTGCGCGGTCTCCACACATTTCGCTCCTCAAACATTTCGCCCTCTTAAATTTAGTGACATATTTCGCGCCTCATATCTTCAACAAGTGCCATTATAAATTTGGGCCTTTTTTCGTTACAAATATTTTAAGTTTAAATATTTTAATTATTTCAAAGTAAGTTCCTGACGAAAGTAGACGGTCCACATGCAAATACCAATTTCTTCTGTCCGAAAATTTCCTTCTTAATTCGACAAATTGTGCGCTTTTGGGTATTATACAGAAATTCTGCAATAAAATCCGGAGCTGAGCAATTGGTTGAACAAATTCTCGGCAAAACCAGGCGGTAAGCAGGGCAAACTGAAACATTTTTGACGAACTGGTTCATTTTAGGGCTAATTTTATAGGGTACAGATAATCCAGTTGTTCGAATTTTTCTATAGGCAGCTTGACTAATGAAAATAACATCCTAGATAGTTTGTATAGGTTAATGGAAGTTTTGAAGCGGCTTTAATGACTGTTTTTATATCCAAACAAAATCGTTTTAGGCCCGAATGTTAATTCTAACTTGATTGAATACTGATGACTTCAATGATTTGATATTCAATTTTTTCGGGTAGAAGAGCCCACAAAACTGAAACACAGCAAACATAGTATTAAGTTTCAAATAGGGATATGGTGATGTTAGATTGAATTTTTTGGTAGGATTGTCAGTTGTGAATGCGCTGCTACAATCAGTTATGACGCATCGGTAATAAAGATTTTCACTTGTTGGTTGTTTTATCTAAATTCATTCTCAATATTAAGTTATTTCCGTCTTTATATTTTGATCGTTCAGTTCTAAACATGATTCAGCTGTTTGAAGAGGAAAATCAAATTATGTATAGTGGAAATGGATTTCTGCTAAAATATATTTTTTAATTTGGAACTTTTCGCCTAATATCAACCCTTTATTTTGCCTTCTATAGCCGCCCTCGGCGAGATGTGTGAAGGGCGCAAACCCTGTCATAGTTTCTTTTTTGAGTTTTCAAACTGTCTGGCCTGCATCCGCTTTATTAAAGTACATTCATTTCTGTCTGCATTTGCTATGCAAGTACGCTTACCTGGCTCGGCCCTCCTCTGAGTTTCAGTAGTTTTGTATGACAGCTGGAAGCTAATGTCCGGCAGTTGGCCGTGAGGGTCAATTTTAGACGGTGTCGGTAATTTTTTCATCTTCAAATCATCAAACAATGCTATCGAGTGTTTTTTTAGTTCTTGTTGAATGTGAAGTTTATTGTCGATTCAGTAATGTCAAAGAAATGTTTTATTCTAGGTAACAGGGCAATAACTTTTTGGTATATTTTGCAGTAATTAAATAATTAAAGTGCTTAGTTCGAAGTTCTGAGGAACTGTTTTCAATTGTCAAATAAGGAAAAGGAACTGTGTTTGAAGTGACATCAATGAGGTCAATCCATTGATCCTGTCTGCCTTTCAGGTAACTTACTCACTTGATGGGGTAAAATTTGCAATCCTATTCGCTTTACTTATTGATATCATATTTTACCTTTCCAGTTTTTTATTTCACCCATCCGGTCATCACTTTGAATTGCTCGCATGCTCGCAATATTCTGTTTTGTTATCGTTTTGTGTGGATACTTGCATGGAACGTGAATTTCTCAATTCCATTCAGTGGTGTAATTATTAACTACAGTGGTAAATGCATTGGCATGACTGTATTTTGCTATGGTTATTTTTGGAATCACATCCCTTCAATTATTTTTTTTTAACCAAAGACGGATTTTCGGACCAATGAGTTTAACAAAGATCAGAATAATTCAACATTACAAAGGCTTAATTTAAATCTTCAAACCCTTCCTCCAGGTGCCTGTTTCCTCTGTTTTGTATTAAGAGTTAATAGCCGTTCATTTATACGTGGTCTTACACAGGGGCGGATTTAGGGGGGGGCGGGGGGGCGGACGCCCCCCCCCCCCCCCCCTCAGGGATTCGACCCCCGGCCGACCCAAAGGGTCCCCCCTCTGATACTTTTTCAGAAATCCGTTTTTGGCCGACCGACCCTAAAATTTTTCTAAAGGCGCCTTCGGCGCCAATATATACTAACTTTGAGGGGGTGCGCGCGCCAAAAAAAACGCGAAAAAAACGCAAAATTTTTCAAAAAGTGCCCAAAAACGGCTTTTTTTACTGTTTTTTAAAAAATTTGCCTGCGGCGCAGAAAATTTTGCCAAAATAGGGGCAAAACAAAACTTTGGGAGAGCTCGAAAAATCAATTTGGTCGACCTAAAAAAAAAAAAAAGGTCGTCAAAATTTTGGAAAATTTTTTGAAAATCCGCCCCCCCCTCGAGAAAATCCTAGATCCGCCCCTGGTCTTACATATTCGATCTGACTGATTCTGATTACTGTACAATATTCGTGGTATACAATCGTTTCGTTTTCAAATATACATTTTAGCTGTCGCAAAAATCTGAAAAGTGTGATGATCTATATGCCAGTTTTGATTACTCCTATTGACGTTTTGGAAAATGGTGTAGTGACTTAATCAAAAGAATGGCTCTGAACTTAAGTTTTTCCGCAAGTGGATTTTTGTTTATTTTTCAGCTTTAATCATGCAAACTATCCACTTGGACCGCTTCAATTTTCGGAGCTGTTAGATAGAATTTTATATCGCGGTGACACCAGCATGACTGTTTCTAGTTTGTTCAAAACTTGTATCAAATTAATCAATCATTCAATGGCCAAATTAGATTAAGAATTGAGAGTCACTCTTTGGTTTGGTCTTACCTTCAATACCTCACTCCAATTCAGCGCTTTTAATTACTGCTTTTTTGGTACGTATTTAAAAAAAAACTATTCGTCAATTTATCAATTCTTTAAAAACTGCAATTAATTACGCTTGCGACTAGCAAGCGTTGTCAAATCGAAATATAGAATTTGTAAGAGTAATGAACGTAGTGAAGACTCCTTATATAGGTCTTGATGATTTTTATCAAATGATTTTGAACAAGTTATCAAATGATTATGATGAACTAGATTTCAGTGGCGTGCGCAGAAATTTTGTCGAACTTTTTTAGTCGAGTTATTTGATTTTCCGAGCTCTCCAAAAATACTAAAAGGACCCTGATTTGTCAAAAATTTTCCGCGCCGTAGGCAAATTTTCGAGTAAAAAACAGTCAAAAAATGACGTTTTGAGCACTTTTGAAAAGTATTTGACCAAAACATAGTGTTTTTTTCGGCGCGCGCTCCCTCCTCAAAGTTATTTTTAATGGGGCACAAGGAGCCGTTACAAAATTTTTGACGTTGGCCAGCCAAAAATGGATGTCGTAAAATTATACCAAAAGGGGCGACCCTTTGGAAAAATTTGGCAACCTGAATTGAGGGATGGGAGGATCAACTGCCTCCCTCCCCCTCGGCACGCTACTGCTTGATTTACATTATATTCAAGTTCCGTAGCTTTTCGGGCACCTTCAGATTAGACGTAACACGACCATGCCTCGAACGGTCAAGATCCTTGGTTCAAATCCGGTCAAGACCTCTTTTTTGCAAATTGAAAGTTTCTGGTCGACCCATTGTATGTCTGTCAGTTTTGCCAGCTTAGTTGTCGCATCACGGACTTTTCAAATCTACTAGCCCCTGACTTTGTATGATTGCCCTTTTTTTAAGCTCAAAAGCTTATTTTTGGCCTATATGGTTTGATTTATGGTATATCGGCTTCTTAACTTCATTTTTTGTCGCTTGAATGGAAGAAAAACAGCATTTTATATTTACTTACTAGCTCAAATTTATCATGAAAAAAAATTGTTTTCGGCTCAACGGGTGTTAACCCTATTTTTCTCGGCTCAATAAGTGTTTCTTAACACTTATTAAACGCCGGAGATTATGTTGCTGATCTGTTTTCCTCATATGAAGCATCATTTGAGACCAGTATTTGGATTTTTTGTTTTGGTTTGAAATGTTTAAAAAAAATCGGTTTCATTTTCTGTCAGCTAGTTTGCGAGGCTAATTTGTGTAATGTCGCAATTGGCAAGAAGCTCCGCTTCGTCTCTTTGTCTAAGGTGACCGTGACTCAGAAAAGCTCCTATTTTGAGTTCAGTGCTTTTTCGTCGTGTAATCTTTGAAACCACCTTTAGTTGTGGCCTAACCTTTTTAATAGCTCTAGAAGTGACTTCAACTTCAATATATCCAATTTTTGAAGTGGAATCGTGCTCAAATGGTTGTTCTGAATAAAATTGAGGTTGAATAAGATGTCATAATAATTGAAAACTTAAAGGCTGAAGTGGAGCGGCACAACTTCAAGTGATTATTTTTTTCAGATGTGCAATACTACAGCTGTCAATACCTAGATAGGGTTTCCAAATTCCAAAAGAAATTGTATTGCGATTGGCTCACAGTGTTAGACTTTTTCACGAAAATGAATTATTCACCTGGGGGATTGAGTCAGAAGCTGATGCAAATTAATCATTAGATAATACGAACGAACCATGAAATATAGACGAGCGATACCTGAACTTTGATATATTCCGTTAAACGGGTGGTTAAAAAGGGCAATGGGTCGGGAAGCTGACCAGGTTGTTGCTAAGCTGAATTATATTCCGAGTGGATTGCACGAACTTCCTCTTTACAAAGGCGAAAAATTGACAGTAGTTGACGCCACTGGGGAGTGGTGGAGAGTCAAAAATGCACTGGGTCAGACCGGCCTCATCCCTTCATCCTATATTAGAGTGAATGGAGACTCATTTCTGTCAAGATTATTTCGAAAAAGTTCGCGAGGGAAGAAATCAGGAGCAAAAAAGCCCCCTGTGGCCAATGAAATATCCAGTCCACAAGCTGTATCCCACGTCTCGGGGCTGAACACCGCAAATGAGGAAAAGTTTCCGAGCAGTTCTGAAGAGTCCAAATCGTTCAATGACAATGTACTAATGCCCAAGTTCATCACGCCTTCTAAAGGTGGCTCGGAGAATTATTTCGACACATCTTGTGACAATGGACAGAGTCCTACTGCTCACCACGAACTGGTGGATTTTGTCGCAAAAGTCAGGTAAGTTGTAACTATTTTAAAAATATGTTGAGAGAGAAACTCTTTAAAATTTTTGCGGTCTGGTTCTAGAAGCAGTTGAGAAAAGAACGGGAACCAGAATATTTTTGAAAGTAACTACACAAGCAATGCTTCCTAAATATTGCGACTCCAGTTATCGTTTTTTTTCTAGAATTCTTTTTGCCGCTTGTTGCTTGTGTTTGCTCCTATAAGTATTGTTCTGACCAGTCACGGAGTGTGAAGGTACGATGGCATAGAAATGGGTTTTTCCATTGCTTATTCCAGACATTCCAAAGAAAACTCACATCTGTCCGTGTCAGGACATTTGTGTCCCAGACATTTATGTCCCGATAAAAAAGTCCAAAATGCAAAAAGTGTCCAAGACATTTGGTTCCCAGACAAAATTGTCCGGGCTGTTGCCAAACTAGTGAATGACCGGATTAATTTGATAAGCTCTCAATAGAAAGGATTAAATCGATAAGGCCACGCAACTGAGCAATTAGCCAAGAAATTATTTTGCGCAGCATATTAGAGACAAAATTAACACAGGACTCAAATCATTTACACATACCTACACAATTATCGCTTGATTGATAATGTTGCCAAACGTATACACGAGAGATCATAATTTCATTGTTATTGCTCTCGAGTTCGAGTTGACAATGGAAATTCTTATGACAAATAAAAACAACGAAATGCTAGTTAATGATGCATACGCATACTTCAAACATCGGATTCTAACAGACACCTCAATTTCGTGGCGATGTGTTTTATCTAAATGGTTTGTGTTTTATCTATGGCGTTGATGTCACATTTTTCTCAGTGGTTTTAGATGTGGCTTCAAAATGTGACTGCTCAAGCCCGTTCAGTCTTGATTTTTGCGAAAGCAAGTGTCTTGTAATCGGGAATTATAGTTTTTTCCCGGAAAAAAAATAATTTTGTTACTCATTCTTAAGAATTTCTGAATTTGCTTTATTAGTGAACCTCAGCAACTTCGAGACGGCTTCTCACTTAGCCTAGAGGTAACGCGGTTGCCCGTTGTACAATAAGGTCTGAGTTTCGAGTCCCAGCAGGAATTTTTTTTCAATATGTTTGAAATTGAAAATTTTTTCCGGGAAAAATTGAATTGTCGGACTTTCGTTTGTCTGCTTATGATTTGTCGGCTTAGTTGCCACATTGGTTAATTTATTGTGCTGCCACTAATTTTCATGGTAGTGTTTAGGCTTGCGATTAGCAAGCGTTATCAAATCAGAATATATTTTTTTTCGGGTTAACAACTAGTTTAACAAAACCACTGAATCGTGTGTGCAGTATTCAATCGTTTATGCAGCAAACATGCTTAATTTCTCGAAAATTCAAATTTAACTACTTAGTAAGAAAACTAGTAACGGCTAAGGATTTACGCTTGAATCCGGTCAGTAATTTTTTTTAAAACTTAAACTATTTAGTATCAAATAATGATTGAAAAAGAATCGAAATTATGCTTTTCGTATGAGATTTTATTATCTAAGCTAAGATAAACCAATACAAAATTTTAAAAATTTAAAGAAAAAACTTCCTCGCATCCAATTTCCCGATTTAGATAAGTTTAAAGAAGGGAACGTTTTTGATAACCTTCTAAAATCATAAATTCAAATTCACAACTAAAAGAGCTTCAACATTACTAGCGTGTAACTTGCATCTCCTGGGCTTCAAAAAGATCGATGAACGTGGATAACGCTAATATATGAAAATTACAAAAAAATAAATTAAACAGTTAGAATAGAAGAGGACATCCAACAATGCTTTCTATATCATAAATTGAACTTTTTTTTTGACAAATTCAAAATTTTTCTTTTCTAGCTAAAATGAACAAACCTCCAAAACTACTGGGTTTCAGATATTCTTATTTTATTAGATTATAAAATAAGAATATCTGAAACCCAGTAGTTTTGGAGATTTGTTCATTTCAGCTAGAAAAGAACTTTCGAATTGAATTTGTTTTAAATAGTTCAATTTATGGTATAGAAAGCGTTGTTGGATGTCCTCGTTGAGTTTATTTTTTTTGTATTTTTCATATATTAGTATTTTTCACGTTCATCAATCTGTTTAAAGCCCAGGAGATGCAAGTTACACGCTAGTGATGCTGATGCTTTTTCAGTTGTGAATTTGAAGTTTCATTTATGATTTTAGAAGGTTATCAAAAACGTTCCCTTCTTTAAACTAATCTAAATCGGGAAATTGGATGCGAGGAAATTTTTTCTTCAGATTGTTGTATTGATTTATCTTAGTTTAGATAATAATATCTCATACGAGAAGCTTATTTTCGATTCGTTTTCGAAAAAAAACAAAATATATATATATATATATATATATTTAAAATTGAAATACTTATTGTAGTTGGAACTTAATGCGTTTCTTGCCCGACAATTGGTGATTCTTGTTTTATTTGCATTTAATTTTTCTTTAATATGCTTGAATCTTCTGAAGGTTAACAGGACAAGAGTGGGGTGTTATTGATTTGTTAGATATACGTACAAAGCACAGAGACCCGATGAACTGGAGTTGAAGCCCGGCGAGGAGGTGGTGGTGCTAGAGAGGGCAAGCGATGGCTGGTGGAGGGGTGTGAACCAGAGCAGTCTGGCCTCGGGATGGTTCCCCAGCAACTATGTAGTCCAGAACAATCACGGCCACCTGCCAATCAATGACGAGAAGAAACGGGACTCTGCGTTTGAGGAATCGTGTGGTGCTAGCAGTGTTGCGAATGGTGAGTCAGTTATATTGCTTCTTAAGCTGAATTTTCACGTCATTCAATGGGAATATTGCAGGTATACCGATAATCTTTTTAGTTTTTTCAATATTGTGAAAGTGTTCTTCAACTTTCGATGTTAACTGTTTTAGTGGGCGCTGTTCCAACCATCCAGGGAGTGGCAATCGCGTCTTACCAGCCAAAAACCCAGTTAGAACTGAAAATCGCCCAAGGAGACCAGCTGCACATTCTGAGAGAGTGCTCTCAAAATGCTCAACTGTGGGAGGCGAGCAACCAAAGCAACCGGGGAGAGACTGGGCTTGTGCAGAAGTCTTTTGTGCGCATTTCGTCCTCCTCGTCGTCCCAGCAACCAACAACAACAGCAGCTGCTCATCAACTGCACCAGCAATTCAGTAGACATGCTTCTCCTCAGTTAAAGCACAGCTACAGTCACAACAGTGGCGGTGGGGGTTCCAAGACCAACCTGTCCACTCCCCTGTCAGTGTCAGTAGACTCCCCAATGAAGCATCTGCAGGCTCCCTTCTCTGGAATCCACATCCACGACAAAGATAGAGACTCCTTCGCGTCTGAGAAGGGCATGGGGTTCGTCTCGCCCCTGGCGCTGCCTTTCGAGCTCCCTCCGAGAATGGGCATGTTTCAGAATGAGGATTGGTATTTTGGCAGAATTTTTCGCAACCAGTGCGAGATTTTGTTCAAGTACTACGGTGACTTCGGTGACTACTTAATTCGAGACAGCGAATCCAACGTGAGTCCTTTTTAGCTAACCAAAGCGCCAAATTTAAGTTTCTGTTTACTCCTCACGTTTTTAGTCAATCAGTTATCAAAAAAATATATATTATTTATTGTCTCAAAAACTTTTAAGGAAAATTTTATCTTTTTGTAGCCAGGAGACTTCACACTGTCCTTGAAAGCGAATATCAAAAACCGTCACTTTCTCGTCAAATCCCTAGGAGGCTTCCCTAGTCGATTGAAGATAGGGAGCAAGGAGTTCTCCACAATGGAAGAGCTGTTGAATCACTACAAAACTAACGCTATCTTCACAGATGCCAGCGCCTCCCGACTAATGCTGATCAAACCACTCAAGGTGCCCGCACGCATGTGAACTGTAGAAGTAGATCTATATTGAACTTTTTTCTCCAAAGTATGTAAAAATTAAACTGAACCTGATTATCTCAAAATTTGTACTAAATCCTTTGCTATGATCACAGTTTACTATTTAAATTTGTAGTTTTTTCGAGTATGGAAATTAAAGGTAAATTGATTACTCAAATGTTAGCAGTGTTTTGTGTGATTACGCAGGGTCAAATTTCAGTCGAAAGTTTAATCACGATCCCCGTTACCCCCCCCCCCCCCCCCCTCGTTATGACCGATTGAGCTATCTGTCCCCCCAAGGAAAAACGGCAAAACACTATAAAAGACATTTTCAAACGCGAGCAGGTGGCTGAAGTTTATAAAGGTTGCAATCAATTGACCGACTGAATTGTTTTTTAGTGTCAAGAAAAATTTATGAAAAAAGTTTTTCCGTTTTTTTATTTGGGCGATCAATGCTCCGTGGTAAACAAGTTTCCAGGGTTAGTTCTCTGACCTCTATTTAAGCCAAAAACCTGCGGCATCATAAAAATGTATGTAATTGCACATTTTCCTTCAAACAAAATAGGAAGAAGCAAGTGTAATATGCGGTCTTTTTCTTACTTTGAGTCCAGTTTTTGAGTTTTATAATGTGATTTTAGGTTCTCCGCGTTTGTTGGAGAATCTGGCGTATAGGTTTATAAAATTAAAAGTAGTTGAATTGGTTATAAGCAGGTCTCAAGTATCTATTAATCTATCGCCATCCCAACCCCCCTCCCCCGCCCCAAACCGAAACGGAGGGGGGAGGTAAGATTAGTAAACTAATCATAGACTCAAATCAAACCATTCAACAATGGACTATACTTCCAAACCTCTCAAGAGACAAAACTCGTAAGCGTTATCGACAAAACTCGTATCAATAGATAAAACGATTAAGCGTTATCTTTGCTACTGTTTTCTATTAACCTCGTCGACCTATTTTGATAAGAATCACTTTATCGTTGGCCACGTTTATAAAAAGTTCGATTAGTTGTGTTGTCTTATAAAAACTTATATCCAAATTTATACAAAGACAAAATTAAAACTTTGACATTTTTGTTCCAACGATGGAAGAATCTACTCAAGCTTGACTTCTTCCATTTTTGCCTGGAATGAATTTCTAAAACTTTAGTAGAACTAGTTCCGTTTTTTATTTATGTCGAGTTTCGAACCACTTGCGATGCAACACAAACCTTTAAAAAACAAGTCTAAAATGAAACAATTTATTTTAAAAATCGGAAAGAAACTAGGTCTACCAAAATTTTAAACTTCTCGATGTCTCGAAAGAAGTGCATTCCAGGCAAGCATAAAAATGTATGTAATTGCACATTTTCCTTCAAACAAAATAGGAAGAAGCAGGTGTAAAATGCGGTCTTTTTCTAACTTTGAGTCCAGTTTTTGAGTTTTATAATGTGATTTTAGGTTCTCCGCGTTTGTTGGAGAATCTGGCGTATAGGTTTATAAAATTAAAAGTAGTTGAATTGGTTATAAGCAGGTCTCAAGTATCTATTAATCTATCGCCATCCCAACCCCCCTCCCCCGCCCCAAACCGAATCGGAGGGGGGAGGTAAGATTAGTAAACTAATCATAGACTCAAATCAAACCATTCAACAATGGACTATACTTCCAAACCTCTCAAGAGACAAAACTCGTAAGCGTTATCGACAAAACTCGTATCAATAGATAAAACGATTAAGCGTTATCTTTGCTACTGTTTTCTATTAACCTCGTCGACCTATTTTGATAAGAATCACTTTATCGTTGGCCACGTTTATAAAAAGTTCGATTAGTTGTGTTGTCTTATAAAAACTTATATCCAAATTTATACAAAGACAAAATTAAAACTTTGACATTTTTGTTCCAACGATGGAAGAATCTACTCAAGCTTGACTTCTTCCATTTTTGCCTGGAATGAATTTCTAAAACTTTAGTAGAACTAGTTCCGTTTTTTATTTATGTCGAGTTTCGAACCACTTGCGATGCAACACAAACCTTTAAAAAACAAGTCTAAAATGAAACAATTTATTTTAAAAATCGGAAAGAAACTAGGTCTACCAAAATTTTAAACTTCTCGATGTCTCGAAAGAAGTGCATTCCAGGCAATCATAAAAATGTATGTAATTGCACATTTTCCTTCAAACAAAATAGGAAGAAGCAGGTGTAAAATGCGGTCTTTTTCTAACTTTGAGTCCAGTTTTTGAGTTTTATAATGTGATTTTAGGTTCTCCGCGTTTGTTGGAGAATCTGGCGTATAGGTTTATAAAATTAAAAGTAGTTGAATTGGTTATAAGCAGGTCTCAAGTATCTATTAATCTATCGCCATCCCAACCCCCCTCCCCCGCCCCGAATCGGAGGGGGGAGGTAAGATTAGTAAACTAATCATAGACTCAAATCAAACCATTCAACAATGGACTATACTTCCAAACCTCTCAAGAGACAAAACTCGTAAGCGTTATCGACAAAACTCGTATCAATAGATAAAACGATTAAGCGTTATCTTTGCTACTGTTTTCTATTAACCTCGTCGACCTATTTTGATAAGAATCACTTTATCGTTGGCCACGTTTATAAAAAGTTCGATTAGTTGTGTTGTCTTATAAAAACTTATATCCAAATTTATACAAAGACAAAATTAAAACTTTGACATTTTTGTTCCAACGATGGAAGAATCTACTCAAGCTTGACTTCTTCCATTTTTGCCTGGAATGAATTTCTAAAACTTTAGTAGAACTAGTTCCGTTTTTTATTTATGTCGAGTTTCGAACCACTTGCGATGCAACACAAACCTTTAAAAAACAAGTCTAAAATGAAACAATTTATTTTAAAAATCGGAAAGAAACTAGGTCTACCAAAATTTTAAACTTCTCGATGTCTCGAAAGAAGTGCATTCCAGGCAATCATAAAAACGTATGTAATTGCACATTTTCCTTCAAACAAAATAGGAAGAAGCAGGTGTAATATGCGGTCTTTTTCTAACTTTGTGTCCAGTTTTTGAGTTTTATAATGTGATTTTAGGTTCTCCGCGTTTGTTGGAGAATCTGGCGTATAGGTTTATAAACTTAAAAGTAGTTGAATTGGTTATAAGCAGGTCTCAAGTATCTATTAATCTATCGCCATCCCAACCCCCCTCCCCCGCCCCAAACCGAATCGGAGGGGGGAGGTAAGATTAGTAAACTAATCATAGACTCAAATCAAACCATTCAACAATGGACTATACTTCCAAGCCTCTCAAGAGACAAAACTCGTAAGCGTTATCGACAAAACTCGTATCAATAGATAAAACGATTAAGCGTTATCTTTGCTACTGTTTTCTATTAACCTCGTCGACCTATTTTGATAAGAATCACTTTATCGTTGGCCACGTTTATAAAAAGTTCGATTAGTTGTGTTGTCTTATAAAAACTTATATCCAAATTTATACAAAGACAAAATACAAACTTTGACATTTTTGTTCTAACGATGGAAGAATCTACTCAAGCTTGACTTCTTCCATTTTTGCCTGGAATGAATTTCTAAAACTTTAGTAGAATTAGTTCCGTTTTTTATTTATGTCGAGTTTCGAACCACTTGCGATGCAACACAAACCTTTAAAAAACAAGTCTAAAATGAAACAATTTATTTTAAAAATCGAAAAGAAACTAGGTCTACCAAAATTTTAAACTTCTCGATGTCTCGAAAGAAGTGCATTCCAGGCAATCATAAAAATGTATGTAATTGCACATTTTCCTTCAAACAAAATAGGAAGAAGCAGGTGTAATATGCGGTCTTTTTCTAACTTTGTGTCCAGTTTTTGAGTTTTATAATGTGATTTTAGGTTCTCCGCGTTTGTTGGAGAATCTGGCGTATAGGTTTATAAACTTAAAAGTAGTTGAATTGGTTATAAGCAGGTCTCAAGTAATTATTAATCTATCGCCATCCCAACCCCCCTCCCCCGCCCCGAATCGGAGGGGGGAGGTAAGATTAGTAAACTAATCATAGACTCAAATCAAACCATTCAACAATGGACTATACTTCCAAACCTCTCAAGAGACAAAACTCGTAAGCGTTATCGACAAAACTCGTATCAATAGATAAAACGATTAAGCGTTATCTTTGCTATTGTTTTCTATTAACCTCGTCGACCTATTTTGATAAGAATCACTTTATCGTTGGCCACGTTTATAAAAAGTTCGATTAGTAGAGAATCTGGCGTATAGGTTTATAAAATTAAAAGTAACAAAAAAAGTAAACCGAAAACAAAAGTTATAAAAAATATCTTTTTAGGCCCCACCTAAAACTACAATGAACAATACTCGCACTTGAAACTACAATGAAAGTAGCTAACAGCACAAGAAAATCAGATTGGTTTCAACTAAGCCAAAAATTTTTGAGCACACTCCAGTTGAGCCGACAAAAAATGATTCAAAGAAAAAAAATTAAAATTTTCAATTTGTCCCCTGATACTAGAATGAACAACACTTGCACCTGAATGAAGGTTGCTTAGAACACAAGCGAAATCCGTGATGTGGCAACTTAGCGGGCAAAACTTGAGCAGACAAATGAAAATCTAACAATTCAATTTGAACCGCATTTTTTTTTTCAATTCCATACAATGATAAAAATATTTTCCGACCGAGAGGCAAACGCTAGACCTTAAGATACAATGGCAACAGCTTTACCCGTAAGCCAATTGGGAGGGAATTTGAAAGACATTAAAAATAAATATTAAAGAGAAGATTGGAATAGAACAGAGTAAAGGAGAAAGTAAATTGAGCCGAAGAAAAAGTTGTCATACATTTTTTTTGAACTATCGAGTTTTAATTTCTTTGACGAAACACATGAGAGCACAAAAAAATACCCTCAAAACTACGAATCATAACTTGACTAAGCTAAAATAACATGAGACGAAATCGCTTAATCGAAAAAAAAAAGCACCTTAAAAAAGGCACAAATTACAGAAATTTAAAATAAAAAAAAAATACAGGCTATGGAAACTGAACCCACAAAAGCGTACCAGATAAAACAAACTGCCTTTTGAAGATTTTGAAAATCAGCCGATGGAACTTAGAACAAACTCACTAATACGAAAAAAAAACTTTCTTTAAGATTTTCA